CAGGGCTCAGTCCTTAAACCTCAACTTCTGTTCTATCTACCCTTCCTTCCTCTTACCCACCCTCAAGGCTCACGTGCCATTTAGACATCAAGTGACAACTGCATTTTTTTGTCTTCTTTGTTGGCCCCCACCGCCCCACCTCATCAGTTGCTTATGGCCAGAACCAGCTGTTTTTGCTCCTTTCCCATCCAACAACTTAGGAAACAATGTTATCTTTACCTTCGAAGTTCATCCTGCGTCTAACATGTCCTACTTCTCTGGTTCCAGCCACTAATGTCTGGGACCACAGCAAAAGCCTTCCTAGTTAAACCTTTGCTTCCTCATAGTCTCTGGACAACCTATCAGTTTGAGTCAGTGTTTTAAAATACCCAAGAAGAGTTGGATCATTTCACTTGGTAAATCGAAGTTGCTATTGCATCTGCAAGATCTGTCCAGCTCTTCTTCCTCTGAACTCATCAAATATCACTTTCTTTGAATTCTTATTTTAAATTGTCATCCTCCTGGGCTGGGGGATGACAATTTAAAATAAGGCTCAGTGGTAGAAACCTTGCCCAGTATTCAGAATGTTCTGGATTCAATCTCCAGCATCACCAAAAAAAAAAAAAAAGATAATTTCCTATCCTGCTGTACTCCATTCCTGTACCTTACCCCTACTTGATTTATTTCCTTGGCACTTCTATGTAGGATAGTAATTTATTTTGCCACATTGGAATGTAAACTTTATAAAGTCAAAAGACTTTTTGTCTACTTTGTGTAACTACTGGTTTATAGAAGGTACTCAATAAATCTGTTGATTTACCAGTGAGAGTGCTTATATATTACAAAAAAGATAAAGTTAAAAATTAAGCATAAATGAGCCTTTAAGATTGATAATCAAGTATATAGAAAATACTATTCATGTTTTTTTTGTTTATTTGCAGTGCTGTGGAACTGGGAGGGGGTTGGTTTACAGCTGAGCTACATCCTCAGGTCTTTTTTTGTGTGTTTTTAAAAAAATCTTTACACACTTTTTATTGGTGCATTATAGTTGTACATAATGATTCCCCAAGACTTTTTATTTTTATAGTACTGGATATTGAACCAAGGGCACTCTACTAAGCTATATCCCTAGCCCTTTTTTATTTTGAGACAGGAGCTTGCCAAGTTGCTCAGGCTTAGCCTTGAACTTGGGATCCTCCTGCCCCCAGCCTCCTGAGTTGCTGGCATTACAGGCATGTGCCACTGTACCTGGCTAATTACTGTAGTATGTTTGTGTCTGCATGTCATGTCCTAGTTTGGGGCCCTGGGGCTGTATTGAACTTAGATTCAGACAGATATCATCCTCTATTTCTCTATTCTCAAATGGGGGTGGGGGAGAGTGATTTGTGAGTCAGAGTCCATCCTAAGGCCAGAGTTAGCAGACAGGAGTCATTACATAATCTGTCAGGTATTCTCATGGAGCCTAGGCCCGTCTTTTCGTCCCTTGCATGGTGTTTAATATCTATTAGATGTGCCAGTTTCTGGGGGAAGAGCAGTAAATGGGTGAACTAGACATTTATAAATGAGCTATTTCTAGAGGTTATGTGGGTGTCTTGGGAGGCTGAGATACTTCACAGACCATTCCTTGGGGCCTCAGTCAGATTCAAAAACCCTGTGTGGTTTTTGGGTTTTTGTTTGTTTGTTTGTTTAGAGTGTGTCTATGTTCTTATAAGTCCTCTGCCATTTTTTATGCAGTCCCAAGATATCCAAGCTTTGCAGAAAGAACTTGAGGAATTTGCCAAGCTGCTGAAGCAGAAGAGGATCAATCTGGGATATACTCAGGCCGATGTGGGGCTTACCCTGGGGGTTCTCTTTGGTGGGTCCCCCTCAGCATGTTCTGATCCACAGGGACCGCATCTCCCCTAATTTTAGGTCTTCTCCACCAAGAAAGTGTGGGCAGGGTGTCAGGGCAGTTCCTATCCCCACTCCTCTCCGGGGGGTATGGGGGAGGGAGGGAGGGAGAAGACACTTGGTCTTGAGCTGCCTCTGGGAAGAAGCTGGACTCTGGTTTGGGAGCTTGTGAGGACCACCTGGGTCTTGAGGTTACCAGGGACCCTGCCTAATGTGCTTCTTTTTCAATTGGCCTCTCCCAGGGAAGGTGTTCAGCCAAACGACCATCTGCCGCTTTGAGGCTCTGCAGCTCAGTTTCAAGAACATGTGCAAGCTGCGGCCCCTGCTGCAGAAGTGGGTGGAGGAAGCAGACAACAATGAGAACCTTCAGGAGGTGAGAGCGGGAAGGATGCACTGGGACCTGTTGAGTCAGCCCAGTCTCCATTGCTTCCCTCCCTGGCCTGCAGCTCTTGCTCTACCACTTGGGGGCAGCAGTCTCTCTCTCTCCCTTTCTTTGTCTGCTAGGGATTGAATCCAGAGCCTGGCCCTCACATTCTACCATTGAGCTACAATTCCTTCCCCAGCCCAGGGCAGCACTTCTCAATGGGATGGAGTATAATCCTTTCATTCTGTTAGGTGATCTAAACCCTCCCTTCCAATTTCCTCATTTTTCATACCCTCTAGCTCTGGGGACCAATCCAGTCACTGTCTCCTTAGCAATGTGCTTTCATGTCACTGACCCCTCAATGTGGTGCTGTTGTTCAGAAGGTTCAAAGCCTGACCTTGTCACCCCTTCCCTACCTGCCTAGATATGCAAAGCGGAGACCCTACTGCAAGCCCGGAAGAGAAAGCGAACAAGTATCGAGAACCGAGTGAGAGGCAACCTGGAGAACATGTTCCTGCAGTGCCCAAAACCCACCCTGCAGCAGATCAGCCACATTGCTGAACAGCTAGGGCTTGAGAAGGACGTGAGTGCACCTGTCCCTGTCCACGCCATCTCTCTGCCTCCCCAGTTGCCACTCCCTTTTCTCTAGCTCTAGCTCCTCCTCCTGCCACTTGGGCTTTGGGTGAAATGATCAAGCAAAGCCAGACCCAACTCCAGGAGCTTATAGTCTAATGTCACTCTCCTGTGTCATCCACTCCCAGGTGGTCCGAGTGTGGTTCTGTAACCGGCGCCAGAAGGGCAAACGATCAAGCATTGATTATTCCCAACGAGAGGATTTTGAGGCTGCAGCTTCTCCTTTCTCAGGGGGACCTGTATCCTTTCCTCTGGCCCCAGGGCCCCATTTTGGTACCTCAGGTTATGGAAGCCCTCACTTCACCACACTCTATTCCCCGGTTCCTTTTCCTGAGGGGGAAGCCTTTCCCTCTGTCTCTGTCACCACTCTGGGCTCTCCCATGCATTCAAACTGAGGTACCTGCCTTTCCCAGGTACGGGGGCAGAGGAAAGAGGAGCTAGGGAGAGAACCTGGAGTCCGGACCAGGGCTTTTGGGATTAAGTTCTTCATTCACTAAGGAAGGAATTGGAAGCACAAAGGGTGGGGTGAGGAGTTGGGGAACTGGTTGGAGGGAAGGTGAAGTTCAATGATGCTCTTGATTTTAATCCCCACATCACTCATACTTTGTTCTTAAATAATAAAGAAGCCTGGGACACAGTAGATAGATAAATTTGTCTTTGGTTTATCCTCTTTTAATTATTGAAGGGCACTAGAGAAATCTGGTGTTAGATACTAACTGCTGTCATACCTGTGACCCTGAAACTGACGTGCCATTTCAACTATTCAAGATCTTTCCAGCAACTTGGGAGGCTGAGGCAGGGGGCTCACAAGTTTGAGGCTAGTCTCAGCAATTTAGCAACACCTTATCTCAAAATAAAAATGGACTGGCTTAATGGTGAAGTGCCCCTGGATTCAATCTCTAGAATAAACTAACTTCTCACTGCCTAAGAGAGTTGAAATTGGAACCCCTGTTTTTTTGTAGAGGATCTTAGAAGCTTAAGCTAGTCCTTGGGGTCTTCGAGTATTTAAATTGAATACCAACAGATGTAGTTACCATGTTCCCTGTTACCTATTAGGAGCTGATTTTACCTGTGCTACTCTGGAAATCCTCAGTGGCTGTATACTAAGAAATCAAGTCTCCCAATACAACTTCCACTGCATGTCACCCTAATTAAAAACTCCCCCTGAGTTGCTTAGCGACTTGCTTTTTTGCTGAGGCTAGCTTTGAACTAGCCAATCCTCCTGTCTCATTCTCCTGAGCTGCTGGGATTATAGGCATGAGCTACTGTGCCCAGCCCCCTTGTATTTTCTTTTTCTAAAATATTTTTATTAGTTATTGATGGACCTTTATTTATTTATTTGCTTGTATGCGGTGCTGAGAATCAAACCCAGTGCCTCACACATGCTAGGCAAGCACACTACCACTGAGCCACAACCCTAGCCCACTGTATTTTCTTGTTACCAGAGTCCATTTGAGTTCCACTTACATACTATTCCTAAGTAACTTGCTATATACCTTCTTATTCCTGGTTCTGCGACTAGTTAATTAGGGGACTTTGGAATGGTTTCCTTAATGTGGGCAAAATGTGGGTTTGGTGAGTCTCAGAAGAAAGAGGATGGACATACAGGTTGCAATAGAATAGGTCAAAATACAGCTTTTCTCATACAAATTATAGAAAGGATGCAACACTCAGCAATATCAGACCAGATCGGTAGTGTTCAGGGTGGCTGTAGACTCCAGCAGTATCTTGGCTTGGTGCAAGGCCCATTTTACACCATCACATGTATGATATGTACATGGGTTAAGAGGTTAATCCACACTGGACCAGATCAGCTTCTGCTATAGCTGGTTCACCAGCTTTTCTTTTTTCCTGGTGAAGCCTATAAAATTCATCCTTGTGAATTAAATCTCAACTATCTTATTTTAATGGAAGTAGATATTTTCCCTGTAATTTCCATTCCTCTTTTTCCCCTGATACGTATCTCTAGCTTATCCCACATATTCAAGCCTTTCCAATGAACAGGTTTGTATGGTTTGTATTTCTCTTCCCTCCTTCCCTTAAGAAACTGGATTAGTTCTCCAAGACCTTACCAAGTCTATTCTTCCCAAAGTTGGAAAACAATATCAGAGCCATAAGAAGAGCAAAGAGTGAATGAAGCTGCTTGGTTTTTATTTGGAAATAAAAGCAAAGCTCTGAAAAGCCAGATCAGAGATACGGTCAGGGAGAGGACTAAGCAGTATAAGGAAGTTGGGGGCAGGCAGGACTGTGCCCTTGATTTTCCTAGAGTGTATTAGATAGATGCCATTCAAGGACATTAGCAACTCCCTCTTGTTTCTTCCCAGGCATAGCTTCTGCAGATGATATGTGCTGGATGATATATTCTGGTGTCCATGACAACAAGGCCTTACAGCTTGTAACAGTGGGAATTTCCAGCTCATTGGCAACTTCTGGAGAGGCAGCACTTTCTTTGGCAGGAAACCACCTTGGCCATGAGGGCCTGCTTCAGGCCCTGAATCAGTGTCCATAGCAATGGACCTCTCCTTGTGGTCATTCCCTCCTGTGGAGGGAAGGAAAGAAGGGAAGCATTTCTTAGGATCCATTTGCACACTACTGTGTTCAATCCTGGATAGGAGGTGCCAGTTCTGTCCTCTAGTGCCTTGGTGGTGGATGTTAGGTTTGGATCCCAACACAACACCCTGGGCATCGGAAATCTGCCTCCCTGGCAGCCTGGATGCTGCAGCCAACACAAGCCACATGGTACCAGATGTCACAACCATCACACTGAACCCAGGCCACTGTCTCTTCTTGGGGCAGGCTGCAACAAGGGGCTGCACAAGGTTCCCCATCCCCAATTACAGGGTGAGTCATGGGGGTGCTCACTGGGTGCTTCCGAGGACGGCCACGTCGATTTCTAAAGGAAGCAACAAATACCAGGGTCATTGAAAACCTGTAGGAAAAACCTAGACCTTGGCCCTGGATAACATAGGGTGGATCTAGAAAGACTCACTAGATAATGTGAGCCTTGGAAATTTAATTCCCTGTCTTTAAGCACTAGGAGAAAGGTGCAAGTCCTCAATGTAAAAAGGGACTTTCTGCTATGGTGGTGCACACCTGTAGTCCCAGTTACTCAGGAGGCGGAGGCAGGAGGATCCAGGTCAGCCTGGGCAACTTAATGAAACCCTGTATCAAAATAGAGGGCTGGGGATGTGGCTTGATGGTAAGAGTACCCCTTGGTTCAGTCCCTAGCACCAAAAATAAATGAATAAAAACGATTTAGGATTGGGGTATAGATTAGTAGCAGAGTGCATGCCTAGCTAGCATGCCTGAGGCCCCAAATTTAACCCCAAACAACAGGATGTCAGTAGACAAGGAGTTCATAACTTTATTTACTGTGCTGGGGGTAGTGCCCAGGACCTCCTACACACTAGGAAAACGCTAACACTAAGCGGACCAGGATTCTTCTTTGAGACTGGCTCTTGTCAAATTGCCCAGGCTGTTCTGAAATTTGATCCTCATGTCTCAGTCTCCCAAGTAACTGGGATTACAGGTGTGCACTACCATCCTTTGCCAAGTTTTATTTATTTTTTCCTACACTCCTATTTTAACCAATACCGCAATACCAACTTGCTTCCTCCTGTATATATATGTATGTATGTCAGAGTTAACCCAGCTCCTGCCATTCTAAGATCAATTCTATCTGTTCACCTCCTAAGCAGTGGGGTTCCACAGCCTGAGACTCTTAAAAAGGAATCAAAGGCAGTGAAATAGTGAGAGTAGGCTGACACTGAGTGTGCCACTTACCCACTGGGTGTCAGTGGGGTTTTCTCTACACGGAGTTTCTTCCTGGGCTCTGTGAGGACTGGTTGGGGGCTCTCAGGAGCCTCACTCTCATCGTCCAATTCTGCCAACACTCTGTGAGCTGATTTTCTCCGATTTCTTGGGGGTGGGGCAGGCGTGGTACCCACTTCCCCAGCTGGAGTGGGAACAGGCAGGCTCTGTGGCCCACCCCCACTCCGGGAGAAGGTGAGAGGCTGGGGCTGGATCTTGCTGAGGCTTCCGATGGAGTTGAGGATCAGTGTAGCCTTAGGAGCAGGGGAGAGGGTGCTGAGGGGCCGCTGTGGGGCCCCCTGGGAGGGCAGCATGGGCAGGAAACCAGCCCTGGCTTCTCCCCTAGACCGTGGGATTGTAATGGCAGCAAAGTCCTGAGGTTTGACCCGGACTTGTTGGAACATGAAGTAGAACTCCGAGGGGCTGGTTCCAGGAGGCCTTTCAGGGCCAAAGGTCAGGAGGTCACCATCACTCAGCTCCAATCTGTGGCCCCTTGGGAGTCGGACATTATTGACCAAAGTCCCTGTTGATGGTGGGGCATGAAACAATGACAAGAACAGAAATGACCAATCAGGAGTAGAGAAAAAAGGACCTGTTTGATTTTTTTTCAGGGGACACAGGAAAGAGAATCAAATTCTCCCTCACATTCTAAACCCCTTGGCAAATAACACCACCTGTGATCTCCATAGCTGGAAGCTCCTCCCAAAGTGCTTAGGTCCAACTCTCATGCTTACTTAGGATAGCCTCAGACTGGTTCAGATTCTGGCTCTGCCATTTATCAGCTGTTTATTAACCTTTGTGCCTAATTTTCCTCAGCTGTTAATTGAGGGTGTTAGTGTCTTCCACATTGAATGCGCTTTAGAAATATCTAGCTGGTGACTAAATGAATGTTGGCTACTATAGTCTAATGTTTACAGCACCCCCAGCATTGACTTTACCAAACTTTATGTTATATAAAGGAAACTAAGACCTGGGGAAGTGGAGTGACAGGCCTGATCAGGGTTTTACCAGGAGCCAGTGGCAGAACACAACTGAGCCCTAGCCTTCCGTGGCTGCCTTTAGTAGGAAGGAAAAACACATGTGCAGATCATCATTATGAGTCATCTAACAGGAACAAGATACCTCAGCAAAGATGAAAACAGTCAATCCTGAGCTTGGCCCCAAAACTTGCCCACTGTGACACTACCCAGATGATGACCTGTGCCCTTGATCCACCAAGCCCTAAATAGAGCATTTAAGTTCTACAGAGTTGACAGTGCATGCTTCTGATGGAAATTCAAGAACTAGACTGACTGTCCAACTTGATAGTGATTTGGGGAGGCAGATGACAGGTTCCCAGAAGATCTTCTATCCGCTTACTCCAACCTGGAACTGCCTTGGGGAAAAACTACCCCTCTCAAGGCTTACCTTGGCTGCTGTGGTCTTCCACACTAACCCTCCAGTCATCACCCCGGCGCTCAGCATGCAGCTCTGCGTGGATTCCAGAGATGAGACCAGGTTCCTGCTGGGGCCGCAGGGCCACATCACATAGGTCGGCCCTGCAGCCCAAGCGATAGGTGCAGCCAGCCCCAGTGGGGGGATGGAAGGTGTAGAGATCACCGCCCCTGCCACCCCCTATGCGTAGTAGTTGGAAGCAGGGTAGCATGGGCGGTGCCCCCTCCACACCACCTTATTTCTCAGGAATCCATCACCTTTTCCACACCTCAGACATGCACCTCTAGCTTAATAGTTAACTTTTCAGTTTGAAAAGTGAGTTGGGTTGTGTGTAATTTCAACCTTGAGTACACAGGTCGAGTAGTGAAAATTCAGAGCTCAAGTAGACTGAATGCAGTATAAAGTTGATTACAAAGCAAATTTGCAACTAAAGAATTCCGGGAGGGTGCTGGCCCAATACAAAAACAGGAACACGTCCTATGACACCTCAGTTAAGCTGGATCCTTAGGCCATCAAACATCCGGGGAGCCTCCAATCTGTGCAAGGCAACGAATCGTATGTTAGGCAGCTTCTGGGAAAATGCAAACTGAGGTGTACGGTGTGTGGTGGGGGGCGGGGGGAGCGATCCTGTTATACAAACATGAAAATGCGATACGAACGTATCACAGTATAATCGGGAGAAGAGAAGCTTGCTGTCAGACTTGCTTCTCCAGATAAGAGCACCCCTCCCATTCGACCGCGCCCCGCTCTTCTGGCCAATTCCTCGCTCAGCTCCAACCCAAGTGAATTCACTGTCACTCTAAAGGACAGTGCAAAAGGGCCCCTAAATGATTCAACAAAATGGATCGAACTCCTTACGTCCCGGCTTCTCTGGATGGGATCAAACGGGAAGAAGTTCCTTGAAATTCCGCAAGGCAAAACGGCCTTTTACGTCCCGGCACCAGCCCAGTTTCAGATCTACCCGCGTAGTGCAGTCTCGGAATGGTCTGTGCTCCAGGCAATATCCTTCTCAAAAAGGCCAGTGCTCCCGCTCCCGCTCTCGCAGCAGTTTGACAGCCAGGAAGCTGAGGCAGGGAGGGGCGCAGCCTCTGCGCGCGGGCAGAGTCGACCCCTCCTTCGGAATTCCCGGGTTGACTTCGCGCCGAGCGTGCCCGCCCCCCGTGCCCTTCCTGATTGGCCCTCTTATTTGCCCTCATCCTCTCTATTGGGCGGCCTTCGGGGTGGGTCCCCAATCTCCCGCCTTCCGCCTTTTTTGATTAGTTTAGGAGTTTTCCCGGGTTCCCGGAGTGGGGAGGAGCCGACAGGGCGCGGAGTTGCCCCGATGAGTTGATTGGGCGTAGCCTTAGATGCCACTGCGCATGCGTGCACCTCCCCCCCCCCCGCCTCCTTCCAGAGCGAAACTGGACTGGGGAGACCCGCTAAAACACCCGCCTTGCGCATGCACGCTGAGAGGAGGAGGCCAGGCCCCGAGCGAGGTGTAGGGGGTGTGGCCAAAGGGCTGAGGGGGCTCTCGAGCTCGGTAAGGGGCGTTCGAGAAGAGTCGGTTGGGGGTGGGAAGGGCTAAAGGGGTTCTGGGATGGGTTCACGGGGTTCACAGGGGAAGAAGGTCACAGGGGCCGGGGTAAAGGAAAAGATGAGGTGGTAAAAACAGCTTTAGAGGCTCGCAGGATGAAGAGACCAGGGTATTTGGGAGAGAGTAAAGAGAACAAAGCATAATAATCTGGGAGATGAGGGTGAAAGTGAGGGACCACAATAATCCCTTCAGGAAAAAAGCAGATAGGATGTAAGAGGGGTCGTGGGTAGGCATCCCAGGTTAGATAAACAGTGGATGAAATCGGGTGGGAGGGTCAGGGAAAGTCTTAGAAGAGTTCACTCTGTGGGCTGTGGGCCTCGAGGGAAGGGCAACAGGACTTGAAACTGAGGGGATAGTAGAGAGAAACTGAGAGTAAGAGAGGTTTGGATGAGATCAGGAAGCTGGCTTTTCTGCCACCTGCTCTAGGCTGCCTGCATTCCCAGGGGTCCTGGGAGTGAGTGGCGACTAACCCTGTATGTGCCACATTCTTGTGGGGCCAGGCCTTGGGTCAGCACTTTAATAGTGAAGGAATCAGAAGTCATGGCTTTGTGGTGCCTTGATGGTCTTCCCCAAGGCCTTGCTGAATCACTGAAAGAACTCTGGAAATTGAGCTCAGGGCCCCTGCATTGTGTACCTCCTTTCTCACCTCCAGCCCAGAGGAAGAAGGTAAAGGCCTTGCCCAGAATCTTAAAAGTAGGAATAAAGCCCTAAGAACCTCAACTTGGCCTATTTCAGTAAATTCTCTCCACATCTTGGTTATTGCCCAGTTCTATAGAGAGGCAGAATGGGACAAGCAAATGGACCTGGGGTATCCACTATCTTTTTTGGGACCCAGGAGAAAGGAACTGAGAGTTGCTAAAACTGGTTGTAATTTAAGGACTATGACTTTGTTACTGTAGGGGCTTTTTGGCTTTTGAAGGTGGCTTGAAAATTAAATTGGAGTGTCCTTGTTTCTCCTGTTGTCCATGTCCAGGGGAAGAAAGATGGCCAGAGAAAGAATGTAGAGCCATCAGCCAACGAGGAGATGTTGCCACCTTCAGGTCAGTGGGGCCAGGCAAGGGGTCCATTGGTTGCCTTTTCCTGGGAAACTAATGACCATCTTTGCTCTTATGATTCATCAGGTTTCACTGGGCTGATTCCCCCCTCCCACTTCCAAGCCAAGCCCCTTCCAACTCTTTCAAGAATGGCTCCCACGTGGGTCTCAGACATTCCCCAGGTGCAACCACCAGCCCATCAGGGTGTCTCAGAGAGGCGACTAGACATCCAGAGGTCTCCAGTGACCACGTGGGAACAGGGTGTTTCTGGAAATGGGCAAGGGCCAGGGCGGAGAGGCAGGTAGGGATCCATTGTTTCTGTTTTCTCATTTGTGCTTGCTCGTGACCCTTCCTCTCTGAAGTAAATTCCTTGCCCTGTTTGGCCCTTGGTTCAATAATATACATTTTTACATAGGCAATTATTGGTATCTACAATACCAATATAATAAGGAGTGTTAGACTCCAAGAATAGAGATAAAAAATAAATGAGAGCCTGCCTTAAATCTTCAACTTATAAAGAATATAAATTTCTAAGGGAGGAGATAGGTTGATTGCAAATATTTGGAAACTACCAGATAAAACAAGATGAAGTGCAGACTAGATATGTAGACCCAGTGCTGTGGTGCATGGGTTCATTCTGATGAAGTAGTTGAAGAAAGCCTTTTTGGAGAACACTCCATTTGATCTGGCATGCACTCTCTGTGAATGTGCTGTGAAAATTCTTTTTTCTTTTTGTGGTATTAGGGATTGAATGTGGTGCGCTTTACCACTGAACTATATGCCCAGTCCATTTTATTTTTTATTGAGATAGTCTCACTAGGTTGCTGAGGGTCTTGCTAAGTTGCCAAGGCTGGACTCCAACTTGCAATCCTTGTTTCTGGGATTATAAGCATGCGACACTGTGTGTTCTTTTTTAGTTTTTATTTTGAGACAGAGTCTCTCTTAGTTGCCCAGGCTGGCCCCAAACTTGTGATCCTCCTGCCTCACCCTCTTGAGTTGTTGGGGATATAGGTATGTGCTAATGTGCCCAGAAAGAATTCTTACTCTTTCAGTTTTATATATCGTTTCCCAAATGTACTGTCAATCCAGAGTGAGGATTACATCAAGGAAATACTAGCCTGGTATCAGGAGACAGAGATTCTATTTCTAGTATGGCTGCCAGGTAGGGGACTTTTGGCAACTCACTTATTTTCCCTAACCTAAGGATCTCTTTTATTTAAAAAAAAAAAAAAGTAAAATAAAGTATGGTTCTCAGTGAGGGAGTTGTCTCAGCCATGTTATGAACTGGTTTAAATTTAAATGACACCAGTAAAGTGTTCTCCAAAGGTTGGGAGTGTCTCATTTATTATTCTGCCCTCTCAGACTCCTCATACAGTAGGCCAAACACTCTGTAAAAGCCTATACCTAGCATCTGGACTTGCCATATTGATACTGTAAGCCCAGGAAGATTTACCCCTATGCCCATGCTTCCCTCATTTTTCCTAGTCTTAAATCAAAATTCGGAAGTCTTACATGTTTTTCTAACCTCTTTACTCAGAACTTGTGGCCTCATGATGTGTGCATTTGATGTTTGATACATCTGCCTGTATGTAGGTCTCCAGAAAAATCATGTTCCATGATCTCACTAGCCATTAGGTCCTGTGAATCCAGATAGTGGACCTATTGTGCTTAGTAGAGCCTCAATGAATGACAATGGTGATGTGAATATAGAGATTCCCATGCCCCAACTTCATCTCCCACCTCCCAATGTAAGGACAGAGGGGTCCTCTTCTTGTCTCCATTTATGCTCTTGGCCTCCCTCTTAGTACAAGAGACACCTTTTTGTCTGTGCCATCCTGTCTTTGAAGGTCCCTAGAGCAGCAGGGGTCTCATGCCCTGAGCCAGCAGGCTGAGCTGATCTTTCAGCAGCTACAAGAGTTGCGGCAGCTAGAGGATGAAGTCCAGGTCCTGCGGGAGACCTCACTGCAACAAAAGATGAGGCTGGAGGCCCAGGCCATGGAACTGGAGGCTTTGGCACGGGCAGAGAAGGCTGGCCGAGCTGAGGCTGAGGGCCTGCGTGCTGCCTTAACTGGGGCTGAGATTGTACGTAAGAAACTAGAAGAGGAGAGCCAGCAGGAGCTGGAGGAAGTTCAGAGGCTGCACCAAGAGCAGGTGAATGTAGGGGCAGGATGGGTTCAAACTCATAACAGGGTAGCTGGGTAGGAACTTCCTAACAAAGAGTCATTATCAGAAGAGATCCCCAAGAGCAGTTAAGCCATGAGGTCTTTGGCAAAGGAGTGAAGCAGGCAGCTTGGAAAGACAGAAAATCTAGGTGTTTTGATCTTATTCAGATTGTTTGTTTCTCAGGACTCAAGTGGCCTCTCACCAGAAGGAAGTAGGTACCTTGATTCCAGTGTGGTGGGAGACTGTGAGGAAGGTGGGTGTGGCCCCTATAGAGGAATGGAAAAGGGGAGGTAATTCTTGTCGGGAAACCCAATACTTCTCTTTTCCATCCCTGAGATAGGAGCTGGAGACTTGATAACCAAATTGCCTATGAGTTTTTGTCCTCATGGATGAAACTGACAACTTAAGTGATCTGTCTTTCTTTGAGGTCACAGACAGTGGGAGTGGAGGGACAAGGCCAACACAGGAATAGTTTGGAATACCCTGATATAAGGTTGAGCTGAGCCCACTCTTCTCTCCACAGCTATCCTCCTTGACACAGGCTCACCAGGAGGCTCTTTTTAGTTTGACCAACAAGGCTGAGGGCTTGGAGAAGTCTCTGAATAGTCTGGAAACCAGGAGGGCAATGGAAGTTAAGGAGCTGACTGTGGCCCAGAAGGAGGCTGAGCTGCTGCGGAAGGAGCTCAGGTAAATTGACAGGGACAGTTGAGGGGGCCCAGAGGTTGGTGATGTGGGATTCTTCACAGTGCTCCCTTAATGACTGCCTTGTTTCTACCCTTGCTAATCCTAGCAAGACACAAGAAGATTTGACAGCTCAAGTGACCCTGGTTGAGAATCTGAGGAAATATGTAGGGGAACAAGGCCCTTTTGAGACCCCTAGCCAGGCATGGGAAACAGAGCGACAGGAGCTTCTGGACACTGTGCAGGTGGGAGAATACAGGGTGTGGGTCTGGAGGGAGACACCAGGAATCAGGGTAGGGGATGTGGTCACCCTTGGAGGAGAGTATAGTACCTAAAAGGGTAGGCAGTGATGTTGCTGGGCCCAAACTGGCTGGTGCCTTGGAGCAGGCATGGAGCCCTAAGACACTCTACTCTTCCTCCCTCACAGAACTTGGAGGAGGACCGAGATGGCCTGCATGCAACCGTGGAACTGATGCAGGTGCGTGTGCAGAGCCTCATGCACATGCTCACCCTGCAGGAGGAGGAGCTGCTCAGGAAGGTAGGGCCCTCCTGGGCAGCCCATGGCCTCTGTTGCTTAGGCAGAACAGAGAAAAGCCAAAGATGGTACCTCCTTCCTCTGTTGCTCCAGGAGCCCACACTTGTTCCCCATCTTCAGGTTCAACCTTCAGATTTACTGGAA